AAATAGTACATTATGTTGGCACCTACGGGCTCACCACTTTTGTTGAATATAGATATATTTTAGGATTTACATGAATCTATATGGCCTAGATTTTGAGTTGCATTACTCCTAGTTGATTATGACGCTATGTCAAGGTAGTACAAGTAAAATTAGGTTGTCTCATATATTAGATATGCTTCACAAATTAAGCCTTAAGGAAGTGCTTTATTCTTAATTATCTTCTTAAATTTATTTAAACTCAAAAGGATAAATTTATCAATACTGAACAAGTCCACCAACTATTGCCTCATATGGTACAGGCACGGGTAGATGCTCGATAGAGTCAAAAAAATGCTGGAGAAAATATCTTCTCAAGTTTACATAAAATAGAAAGAATATACTGCTCTATCTTCACCAAGTGCTCTACATTCAATTTTGAGGAGCATAAATACTTAAATAATATACTTAGCTCGATCGAGGGCTTTAAAATTAGATCTGATAAAAAAAACTAAACGTAGTTGGTAATAGATATTGCATGAAGATATGACAGTCATGACTTTTTAATTCAAATAATCTCTCATATTTTATTTCAATACATCTATTAAGATTGGAATAATATTTATCAGATACCTATAAAATTTGCACCAATTCACAAACTGCTCGTCTATGCTCTAATATCAAGGTGAATGGAGCTTTGGGTTTGAGAAGTTTTTATTTCCACCATCCTTCAACTCTAAAATGAATGAACTTTAGATATTTGTCAAGCTATTTCCTTGTGGCTATGAACCTTACTCTTTTTAATATTTTTTCACTAATTAATATAAGAGGAGACTACGACATCACCATTTTATGTTTAGTAATGATATCTTTATTTTGCCTGAAAGAATAACCTGTAGGTAAGAACATGCAGTGGCAGTCAAAACAATTGTTCTTCCATTCATGCCTTAAAGTGAATGACTTTATAAATTCCATATAATATGGACAAGCTAACTTGCTAGAAGTGTTCTAACCTGAAAGCATATCATATACAAGAAAGTCACCAATTGTCCAAAGTAATGATGCCCTCGTTATGAAGTTTTGTTTGGTGAAGATGTCATGTTTACTTACTCTTTCTTCTCATAATAAATTTAAATCATCGATTAAAGGTTACAAGGATATATCAATCTTTATTTTTGTATTATATGGCTCTAAAATGATCAACATCAAAAATATATAAGCTGTAGTCATGCATTACTCTGGAAGAAGATTTTAAATGGTGAGTATCACATACCAGTATGAATAAGGTGAAGCAGATTGGCTAAATGAAGTAAAATCATCTACGCATAAACCTAATTTTTCATTTCTTAATTCTATGGCGATGGTAGGATGAATATGATCAAAGTGCTTCCAGACCTCTACTTCTAACAGATGCATAATAATATCTTCTTATGAGATGTATTCATTATGTCATCTCATATATGTAACAAATCTCATGGATGCATATAACCATTGTAGTCTAAGAATTATGGATAAGTAAAATATCCTACTAAGTGGTATATCATTTAGCTATCTTTTCATCCCAAATATTAGTTTAAATCTTTGTGCATTGTAATTATGTCATACAAATTATGGTAAATCATCTTTATAGTATAACATGTATCTAATGATATAACAATTTTTTATATATATGTTAAACTATGTTTAAAAATCAACTTCTTAGTCTGATATAAATCAATAGAAATTATGTTCTTTGTTAGGTTGATTTTCTTAAACAGTCCAACGAATTGATTAAAACCTTCATGTGAAATATTATATTTTATTTTGATGCTTAACATTTTTATAACAATAGATAACTCTGAGTAAGTGGTGCACCCCTTTCAAATTAGTTTTTGGTAGTATGCAACAAATCATAAAAATTATGTGTCTCCTTATTTGATGACTCTTTTGTATTTTGTTCAAATTGTACCCTAGTTACATCATAAACTAAGTCCTTAAGAGATTAGATATTTTCTTTCTCGGCTATATGAGAACTGGTAGATGGGCCGCATCGAGAATCAAAATATGGCTCATCTCACCATGAGAAGTCCAAATACTAATATTTGGCATAAACCCTATGTGATATAGATCAATAATTACGTCATTTGGTGTGAGGTGCACTTGATTTTTATGTTTAGATCATAATCATCAAAACTTTTCATCTAAGATGAAGCTATGCAATTGACAGACTATCTGGAAGAAAAACATTTAGCCCATTAATAAACTCATATGTTAATGTATTTTGACCTTGTTCCAATTGATTATCCATCCAACATCTTTGATTTTTAATATCCAAAATATAAAGAATTTGACGAACATATAATATGAAGATATTAGAGATTGGAGTAACATCTATTAAAACAAAATAGATTGAATTTAAATTGATTTATAAATTGAATGGTATTAATTATCATTTAAATCTAATTAGTAGGTCAACAAATTAACAAAAACATCAAAGCCTTTATCCTAGTACATGGGGTCAGCTATATGAGTCACTTTTCCAGCGGTAGTCTATTGGTATAGCCAGTTTTTCTTATGCATTTACTTGCAACTAGTTCATATCTCCTTTGTCATTATTTGTTCAATATCAAATTCAAGCTTTATCCCCTATTTCTTTGTTTAGGTTCAGGTCCCCTGTCAATAAAAAATCTGTCAGTCTCTCATCATCTCTCATGTTTATGGGAAATTTCAAGATTCTTGGCCTACCCTCCATGTCAAGAAAGATGTGCACGATCGGTATCGAGTGACACCACAGCCGTAGTCTTCAATCTTGCATTCAAGGGGGTACCTATGTGAAAATACAATTTTCCCCACAGGTACTGAGGCACACATAATACAGGAAAAACTTATATTACATGTAGCACAGATCCAGTAAAAAATGAGAAATTCCATCGAAAAGTGTGCATTTATGATAGATTTCTGATAGAAATTTAGTCAATGATAAAACGAGCATCAAAAACTTTGTTCCGGCGGAATTATTCCACAAGAGATATTTCCGGCAAATTTACCGATGAAATTCCTACGAAATTATGTAGCAATATTTGTCGTTTGTGAAGCAATCATTTTGTGTCATTTGCAAACACTCTTCCTGTGTCACAAATATCCAAGTCTTTTCAGGTCTACCGCTACCTTTATTAACATAAGCAAAATCTAATACCTCTACTTTCCTAATTTGGTCATCAGGAAGGCGTCATTTTATGTGACCAAACCATCGAAGACGACTCTCTCACTCATGAGCATTCTCATCTCTGCAAACACTTAACATAATGTTATGCTTCTCTTTTAATGACCAACAATTTACACCATAAATCATTGTAGGTCTCACCACATCTTATAGAATTTCCCCTAAGTTTTAGGGGAATTTTTTATCACACAATAAGCACAACACATTCCTCCACTTTGACCTTCAAACTTGAATTCTACTAATTATATTCAAATCTATTTCACCACCAACTCCCTATCTAGTCTTACCACAAGAAGAATATATCAATAAAATGCACACACTATGGTACAATATCTTACAAATGTCCACCGAGAACCTCTATGGCCAAAGAAAAAAAAGGGCTAATAGCAGAAACTTATGATTTTGACGACTAAGGTGGCAAATGATGACAACGAAGTGGTGTACACGAAGGCGATGGAGGCGGGAGGCATCTCATGTGACTGGGAGCGAAAAGTAGAAAAGAAATGAGTAGGAAGATGATCATGAATAGTGTTGGGAGGAAAACAAGGTATTTTTCGGAAACATTTTGTCGTGTTTAAGTAACCTGACAGATCGGAAACTTCCAGTACATTTTCCATCAGAAGTTACCGTCGGCTTTAGAAAAATCGATGGCATTGCCGGCGGGTTTTCCGCATAAAAAATTGTCAGGGGAATATCCGTCGGAAACCCGCCGCTAAGTGACCGGCATAATATACGTTGGTTAGACCGTCGCTAATACCAGTGGATATAATTCCTCCGTAATATTTTCATAAAATCTTTTATTAATTTGAAGTTCAATATTATTGAGTTTACATTTTTATGATTTATTTTTATTTAATTGTAATTTTAAAAAAATAGCTTTTATTATATAATTATTTATTTAAGAATTTAGGACATTTTTATTTTTGTACCAAATCAACTCTGATCATCTATCTTACAATCTTCAACATCTGGATTACTTAATATGAGATTCCAAGAAGTTTAAAACCACATGAAAATGTATTTAATTTTTAATATTTATTTATAAGATTTTATTTAGATTTTAATTATTTTTATTTTTGAAGTTTTCTAATGGAGCTTTTATTTTTCTTTGATAGATTTATTGATTTTACGATGTTTAGAATTTAGTTTATATATATCATCTATTGAATTTGCTTTTTTTCCTTTTTTTAATTATTTATTTATTGAATTTCTTTTTTTTTAATTATAAGGTGACATTTACATCCCTAATTTATTTATTGAATTTCCTTTTTTTTAATTTATTGAATTTCCTAGATTAATTGTGAAAGGGAAATTAGGGTTTGTTAATTGATAGACCAAATGGATCGAATTGGCCTGAAATTCAAAGCATGCTTCAATTTTGACCCAAGCATTAAACTCTAACAATTTGAACTCATTAAAGCTTTCATAGGATTTTTAATGAAATTTTAAAATAAATGGAACTATGCTTTAGAAATTCAATTAGAGCTACATATACCATATCATGGACGTGTCTAACCAGCCCTTTGACACTAAGAAACATGCTAAAAAATCGCTATGGATTCCTCCTCTATGTGAATTTTTAAATTTGTAGGTCAATTATCATAAGCCTTAATTTCACAGGCATATGAAAGTAGTAGTCCTCAAGCTGAATCTATAGAGGGCAAAATGGCTAACTACGTGAGATTTATGATTTTTTAAAAGTTTAAGCAATTTCATTAGATTTAATTCACTTGTTCAACATGCACTTTAAATTTCATTCAAATGTGAACTAAATTATGAGGGTGCGTAACATTAAAATAAAAAGAAAGCTAATTCAACTTATATAGTAAAGCGTAAATAATAATCAGAAGTTAGATGAAGGAAGGCAAAGATCCAAGTGGTGCTTAACATGTCTAAATTGTTCAGACAAACGTGTAAGAGATTGAAAGTTGAATAATCAGACAATCAATCATTCAGCTATCAGATTCATGAATTGAAGCCATCTATACCTGCAAGAAGATCACTATCATCCCCATCGTGCTATTGATAATCATGTAGATGGGCAGGGGCAGCCTAGTTTAAGTTTTTTGGTTTGCCATAATACTATTATTATTATTCCTCTCTCACATCATCAGAAAACTTTTTCTTGCCTCCCGGCACCAAGTCATCACTTGATGGCCTGCGAGAGTGCTTGCTTCCATTCCTTCCATGGATCTTTCTCTCATCAGAATAATCATGATGATGATGATGATGATCATCATCAGACAAATTGCTTCCAGATTGGTTTCTGTTCTTAAGATGATCATTGAAATCCGACACCAAGTCATCACTTGATGACCTGCGAGACTGCTTACTTCTTCCATCATCAATCTTTCTCTCATCATCAGAAGAATTAAGAGAAGAGTCATCATCACTGCTTGACATCTGGCGGCGATGATGCTTGCAATGATGATTGCTGCTTGATTTATATCCGTGTTTGCTGGAATGTTTCTTCCTTCCTCTCTCCGACTCGGTGTCTTCATAATCATCACTGTTATCGTTATTCAATCTCCTCCTTGACCTATATCTGTGTTTCTTCTCCACCTTCACATTGTCACCTGAAGACTCCGAGTGGTCATGCTTCCGTTGTTTTTTACATCTCTTCTTTGAGGATTTCCTGCTGCCATCATCACTGTTTTCAGTATCTGACATCTTCCACCTTTTCTTCTTCTTCTTCTTCACCTTTGCTTCAGCATCAGCTTTTGCCTTGGATGCAGCTTCTAACTTCTGTTCCCATTTCAAAGGCGCTTCCTTCTTTTCCAAAACTCTCTTCTTCTTCTCTTCGACCAACTGAATGAACTTCTTCGTATCCATTTGATGATGATGATGATGATATTCAAAACAAATGTACCACCTACATTATGGTGAAATGATGCAAGGAAGTGCATCTCACAAAACACACAACAATTTTAGTTCTTGAAACACAAAATTTGTGGAATAAACTCCAAGGAAGTTCATCTCACAAACCATAACTGAGAATAAAACTATTAAATAACTGAGAATAAAACTATTAACAAAGGGGCTACTTAGGATCACTTTTGTTGTTTTTCTTTTATCTTCTGCTTTTATTTATTTTATTTATATTTTGACAAAAAACAATTTCACCGTCGCTTTAAACAATAACCCGATATATCTAAAACGAGCACTCTTTTTATGTCTTAATCACCTACTGTCATAATCCCATCAAGTATTCACCTCTTGCAAATGTCAAGTAAGAACATCCATAAAAGCAAAAAAGACATGGGCCTAAAGCTAATCCATGATGTAATCCAACTGAAAAAGAAGAATACTTGGTCAAACACCTTGTATTTGAACATTAGTAAGAACTCTTGTATACATATTCTTAATGACTCGAATATAAACATTATTAATTCCCTTCTTTTCTAGAACCCTCCAAAGCAATTCTCTTAAAACTTTATCACATGCTTTCTTTAAATCAATAAATATCATATGTAGATACTCCTTAAAATTAAATTAAAAAAAAAAAAAACTGTTGTTAACAAAGAACATTGGATATGATTTCTATTTAAAAAAAAGAAATGATATAACAGACATAATCATGTTAATCATACACCACAGATCAGTACAGATACTGTAATTCGTACATCATATAAGAGTTTTCCTGGTGCTAAAACAAAAGAAGCATTATTCACAAGGAATAGCCTATGTAATCAGCATTCAGATTCAGAACCTCGTTGAATGTTATATATATAAATCAGGAGAAAAAAGTGGGTCACGATATCCCCATTAAACACGATATGCCCATTACAGTTTAAATTTGGTTTAGAATGGAACTCATAGATAATGGATTTGTTTTGTGATTAGAATTTATCTCAAAACAAATCCACAAAATCCAATGATTCTGAAACCTATCTTAAACAAATTTTACTCGGGATATTGTGAGCCAAAATTTTTCCTCTGCACCACACATTGACCATCAGCATTAAGAATGGGAATTAGCATAAATAACGTAAAACTAGCTTAGAAAATTTTCCCAACTCATTCGTGTGGAAAGACATAAATGCTGTGCATTAATGAAAAGAACTACAAAATAATAATAATAATGGTTGAAATCATTCCATAAAGGCATTATCTACCAAATTAATGCAAAATGATTACAATTAAGATATAAGGATGATACAAATAAGGGGTTCAACTATTATAAAAAAGGAATTAAAGTTACGATTACAAGCACAAACCTACACACTCTATTTCCAGTATAAAAGAACTTTCATCGTTAAAAATTAAACCAACTTTCATGCGCATTATCATAAGAGAAAGAAGCATTATGGAAAATTTTCTCAAGCTTAGGTAATCCTGTTTATTCAAAATCATAGAAGCAACGATTTACAGGGATTTAAAACAATTTATAGTCTCCATGGTTTATTTATTAAACACAACATCAACTAAACAATACCCAATTTTATTAATTCCTACTGGAGTGCACCTCATTATGTATATCAAAACAAATAAGCAACGTAGAACACAAAGAAAAAGAAATGAGCTCAACGTGCTTACCTTATCTTAAAAAGCAAACAGTGTGCCTTTGAACCTTTAAGCCGTGCAGGAACTGCTTCTTAGCTGAAACATAAAAACATAATAATAATATGAGAATCCTTCTTGCCAATTGAATTGAATTAAAATGTATCCTATTGACTTTCAAGCCTAGGTACAAACTAACTTTATGACATTTATTACTTTATAAAGAAATTACATGATAAATGAAAATTTAAATTGATATTCAAACAAACCTTGAAGGTCTACTTTTATAATGTAAACTATAATATAATAATTTGTAACTATAGAATAAATCATGAATTTTGAGGTCAAATCAATCTTTCTTACGATGTGGATGGCCAAGAGAACAGGGTATTGTGGAGTGCAAGTTAGAGAGTTATCTTGATCTACTTTGAACCTCTCATTCAACTACAGTTTTTCATTTATAAGAGATTTGGTTTAAATTTTGAATTGATTCATAATCTCATTATCTTTTGTTATGAAAATTGAAATATCCCCTTAATTCCTAGAATGGCTCCTTGGTTTTATTAGTGCTCGGAAACCCCAGTTAATTTTGAATGTAAATTTGGTATTCTTTTTTCTATTCAATATCACTTTTTTGACTAATATAGGCAGATTTTGTTGAGATTAGTGTTCGATAAAATCTCCCATAAAATTTCTTGAATCCTCTTGAAGCTTCAAGAAAATACAAAAAACGATAAAATCTCCCATAAAATTTCTTGAATCCTCTTGAAGCTTCAAGAAAATACATTTTTTTTTTTTTTTTTTTTTTTTTTTGGCTTGTTAAATTATAGTTGAGCTGAGTAGGTTTGAAGAGCCTCCAAGATCCTAGCTCCACACTTTAAACTTATTTTTTTCCACCAAATTAGTATTAGTTAGATGACGAATAAAACTTGTAATTGACCTTCCAATGATTGCTAGTGGTATGGCTAACTCATGAAATGTAACTAAACAACTAAGTGTTCAACCCAAGCAATATTAGTAATCTTTGCTAATGTAGATGATTCATTCGTAGGGATAGTCATTCATGATGATGAAGTTTGTCCAAACTCTTTAAATAGACACCCCCATGATTGGGTTTATCTATAGGAGTTAATTGATCAGCCCAAATTGGAGTCGGGATGCAAATCCTCTTGACAATGTGTTGTAGCTTTCAATCTGATGTGAATGACCCATAATGACAAGTTACCAACATTCTCTTATAGACACTCATTAGTGCCTCCCATGAGTTCTTTGGCTCAATCCTCTTGATCTTAGCTCCATTTTTTGAGGGAATCTTGCACCAAAAAAGGTAGACTAACAATAATTTTTACCTCATAAGCAATTATCTCCTCCTCATCATTTTGCTTAATGATAGAGATTGCAATTTGTTGTGGTTCTTTATCTCATCTTCATCCTCTAATTGATCAACTCCTTTTGCTACCAAAAGAACATATTTGCCTTCTTAAGAATGAACCTCATAAGTACTTACTGGATCATCATGTGTCAGGTCGTTGTGGTTCTCTTGGGTACTTATTATATTTTTCCACACTCTGGTATGACCCGAAGGCTTAAAATGGAGGTGGAATTGCTAGAACTTTTCTACAAGTTATTTTTTCAAGCTTTTGAGCAATGAACATTGATAATCTTACAACTCCTATCTAAACCCAAATCTTTTTAACGTCATCCATCATCTTTGATATTATACTGACCTCCTTATCTAACATGATAACATCCAGGACCTTAACTCATACATGTTATCATTGATTAATGGCATATATCAACATACATCGATGGCATACACGTACACCTACCAACATAGATTATCAAAAGCAATATGATCCCCTTGAAAAAAAAAAAACCTACCAACATAGAATTATGACATATATCAACATACATATGAGAAGCACTTTTGCCCTCTTTATTTGCACTTTGCAAATCTCACAAAAACTCGAGGGTAAATGGCAAAAGAAAAGTCAAAGAAGCTGAGGACTTATGTTTGGTTCTTTCAGCTTTTAGCTTAAAGAAGGCTGAAAAAATTATGTAATTTTTTTCAATTTTCATTTGACATTTCAATGATTCATTGTAAAAAAAATGCGTAAAAAATCATATTTAAGACATGTAATAACTCCTAAATCCATACTCTAAATATCATAAATGTAAGTCTACTCTTCTTCTTATATGTAAATACTCTAAATATTCCTCAGTTCCAACTTGCTGCAACCTTACAAATTTCCTCAAATTACCAAACATAAAATATTTTCAGATTTTTATTAAGGAAATAGTCTGTAAACATTTTTTTTATTAATATTAAACCAATCTGTCAGATGACAATCATAAAATATGTTCAGATTTTAAACTAGCAATAATATTATTTTATTCAACTGTAGTCTGAAAAAATTAGAACTATGTTTAAACAATATCTGTATAAAGAGAATCTATTTCGCAGCCCATTGAATCAATAAGTTGGAACTAATCTCTTTGCTGCAAATGTAATTCTCTTTTAATTACTACCATTTATCTCTATTAATAAGTTCATGTTCTATTCCTATACAATACACAAATAAATTATTTAAAAGCAATTAAATTTTAATATCAATAAATTCTATATTTTAAAAAAGTATACATATTTAAAACATTTTAATGAAGATCCAAAATCCAACTGAGGAAGCTTGGAGAAAAAGACAGCCAAAATCTAACTGAGGAAGCTTGGAGAAATCAAAGATGGTGAAACAGATATCTAAAATCTTAATTAAAGATCCCGGAGGCTTTTTCTCTCTACTTCCTCAAAATCAGCCATCTAATAATAGTATGCTATTATTAAAATAAAAAAGGTTTGGCAAGCCTATGCATTATAGTAATTTTTACTCAAAATTTTATTTGAAAGATTATAAGGGAAGATTGAAAATGACAAAAAAATGATGACAAGTTAGTAAAATCACGGAAGATCACAGAAGACATTGCTTTCAGACGAGTCTTTCGAAACTCTATTTCACACAAAGCAAGCAAGGTCGGGACAGATAAATCGACTCATTCAGAACTATACTTCACACGACCCAAGCAAAGCCGAAGAAGAGCTCGAAATGAAGAAAGATAAAAGCAGAGGAAGCCCACTGAGTGTACAATTCTTTCAAAACTCCACTTCACACGAAGAAGGTGAGGCCAAGACAGTGCTCGAAAAGGAAGAAAGGACCTTCACTGCAACGAGAGATCGTCTCATTCAGAACTCTACTCCACCTGAACCAGTCGAAGACGAAGAAGAGCTCAAAATGCAGAAAAATTGTTAACTCCTTAATGATTCGATACAAGTGTTGTTGCCAAAGGAGACGGAGAGGCTTATCTTTCAAAGCTCAACTTCACACAAACACAAGAAGCAGTCAAAACAACTACGCCCTAACGCCCAAAAACTTATACTAGTGTAATAAGAAAAAAATACAACGAGGCGATGCCTCAAACAACCTCGAGACCTTCCGCCTCGAGGCCTTCCAGCTCAAGGCGTACGCCCCGTATATAAAAAACGTAAGCCTCACACGAACGGTCGAGGCTTAAGCCACAACGCACCTGAGTCCCACCTTGAATCGAGTTGTGCCTCAAATTGAACACAATTTTAATTGATGGAATGGATTGCTAAAAAAATGATCATCAAAATCCCAATTAATATTTTTTGCATTTAATCATTTATTCCCTTCCAAGACCAAAATTGAGAGAATGATGAAAGTTAGGATTTTTTGTTAGAATATTTTGCCTTAACTTGAAAACTTGAGCATCCTTGTTTTCTCCTTATCACTCTTCCAAGAAGGCCTTGGGTTTTAGAGGAGGCAGGGAGGGTGAGACTCAGTTTGGGAGAGAAAGGAGAGGAATTAATTTCTGCAATTGAATTGTATGGTATTCAATTGATTTTCAAGCCTAAATACAAATTAAAATCGAATAATTCTCAACTAAACTTGATAAACCATGAATTTGAATTCGAAATCATCCTCCTTATGAGGTTGTTAGACAATAGGGAGGGTTTGTGAATGAAAGTTGGAATATGAATAGAAATGTCCTTGAATCTCTCCATTAATAGCTAGCCTTTTTTTTAATATTTAGTTTAAATGTTGGAATAAAAAATAAAATATCCACTTTATTCCATTAGTTTAGCCTTTATTTTCACATGCCTATTTGCCCTATCATTTTGAAATTTGAATTTGGCATCTTTCTTAATTTACTCCTCTTATTGCACTCTATGCCTAGGCCTTCCATTGTTGAGATTGACACATAATGATGGAACCTTCTCTGAAACTTTTCCTCTCCTCTAGAAGTTCCTAGGAAATATAACAAACTTAATTTAAGGTCTTCATTTGAAAAGCCTAAATCTTGAATTTATTTGCCTACTAAATTCATCTCAATTGGGTTGAATTAGGATTTAAAGGCCTCTTGAATCATTCTCAACCAAAAACCTTATTCTTTCTTTTAAAAAGAGATTTTTAGTCACCCAAGCCCAACTAGTCCATCCCTAACCTAAAGAATAAAAAAGAAAATTATATGCATGTCATCCAAATCTTCATTATTTACATATATAACAGCCAAATTAAAAAAACAAAATAGCGAACCTATGTATTTATGCTTGTTATAATCAAATCATTTAAAATTTAAGGAAATTGAAAAATCCATATTGCATCAAGGATCAGCCTTAAGCCCATATCTTTTTGCTTTAGTCATGAATGTTCTTACCAGACATCTACAATAGGATGTAGCCTAGTATATATTTTTTGTTGATGATATTCTTCTTGTTGATAAGACTAGAGAGGGAATTAAAGGTAAACTTGAATTATGGAGGTCAACCTTAGAATATAAAGGTTTTCGTTTTAAGTAAATCTAAAACCGAGCACATGGCGTATAATTTAAGTTGTAATAGATATAGTGGGAGGTTAGTGACTTTTAGCGACCAAGTCAGTAATAAGAGTACGCATTTTAGATATCTTAGGTCTATTGTTTAGAGTGATGGTGACATAGATGAGGATATTATTAATAGAATTCAAGTTGGATGGTTGAAGTGGACAAATGCATTGGACTTATTGTGCGATAGAAATGTGCCACTCAAA